CATACACACAAATGGAAATGCACACATAATATAAACTCAAACACAAATTTAACCCCCCCCCCCCACACACACATACATGCACTTAACCCACCTTGCGAACACACACACACACACAGCGTTGCGCACATCCCACCTCCCGAATACTTACACATACACACACACACATCCCCCTACACCTATCCCCTCCACACACACACACACACCCCCCCCCCCCCCGCCCCACACACGCACCAATCATACATCATATCCTTCCCAAAAACACACACACACACACACACACATATCACCCCCCCCCCCACACACACGTACACACACAGACATACCCCTACACGCACACACTACACCCCCCCCCCCCTTTCTCTTCATATAACTCCTTACCTGTATTTTTATATAATTTTTTTCACTCTCCTCTATACATCTGTTTTACTACACCTGTTTCTCACTTACTTTATCCTTTTCCTTTCTCCTCAATTTTTACTATTTCTCCATTATGAATTAAACTTTTGACACCGTTATTATCGAACATATATAATAATAATTATGAAATAATAATACTCAATAGGGATAAAAAAACAGAAGTAATAATAATAATAAAAAAATAATTTTGACAAAATAACCGTGATCGAGATAAAAAAAAGAAAGAAAATTAATTAATTGATGAAAATCAAACGATATAAAAGGAAAGCAGAAGAAAAGAAAATTAATTATTAATAAAGAACGGATAATTATGTAATAAATCATACCAATAACAATGAGGATATTAATAATCGTAATAATGACAATAATGATTTTTTATAACAAAAGTAATGGTAGTAGTAATAATGATAGTAATACCAGTAATAGTCATAGTAATAAAAAATATTTAGTGGTAAGAAAGAATAGATAAGAAACTAAACCAAAGCACAAAGTAAAAATATTTGGGGATATGAATAAATAAAATTGGATATACACTTCACTTAGTATTATGCATAGACAAAACAATAAGACAAACATAAAATAATAATAAATGATAATAATGATAATAATAATGAAAATAATAATAATAATAATAATAATAATAATAAAAAACAACAACAATAATAATGCTAATAATGATAATAAAGATGATAATAATGAAAATAATAATAATAATAATAATGAAAATAATAATAAATAATAATAATAATAATAATAACAATTATAATAATGATAACAATAATAACAATAACAACAACAATAATAATAATAATAACAAAATAATAACAATAATAATAATGAAATTAAAAAACAGCCACCTCCTTCCCGCTCGGAACTCGGGACCCGCGCGCCACATTTCACAACAGCAGCCCCGCCCGCGCGCCGACCAAGCAAGCTGAACCACCCACCTTTCTCCTCGCGCTCAGCTGTGCCCGGAGGCGTGTTGCAGAGTCATCGTCTCAGAGTGATTTATCGTGATTCAGAATACCTCGTGTGAAAAGGGGGGGTGGGGGTTGCAACACGAGGACAGAATGATTGTGGTAGAGAGAGAAGAGAAAAAAAAGATATAAATAAATGGTGCTATTGGGCTAGCTAGCATCTAGAGCTCGGATCTAATTGGCTGTTCTAGACGAGAGGAAGAGCGAGAGGAAGAGAGAATGTTGCCAAGTCATCTAGAGTTTACGGGGCTGTTCCTAACTAGGGAAAAAAAGCCTCTATGCAGTCCTAGAGATAATATTGAGGAGTGCTTTGTATTCTTCCCAATAATCTTAAACTGTTGGGGAACTAGATACACTAAGAGATCTCGCAGATGCATATATAATATATATATATATATATATATATATATATATATATATTATATATATATATTATATATATATATATATATATATATATATATATATATATATATATATATATATATATATATATATATATATATATATATATATATATATATATATATATATATATACTATATACATGTGTCTAGTCATTGTGTATTTGTGCGTCTGTTTATATATATTATATATATATATATATATATATATATATATATATATATATATATATATATATATATATACATATATACACACATACAGACAAACCCACATTTAGATTCCTTTTTCCAGCTAATCCCAAGTTGCACGTCGCTCTCTGCATTCGCGAGAGCCGCCCTCGCTCGTCAGTCAGTCCGTCCGGCAGGCAAGCAAACCCTGTCAATCTCATGCCAAAATCGCTACCAATTCTACACAGCAAATGGAACGGGATTAGATGCCAATACAATCGGGATTAGACGCCGTCCAATCGGGAGTGGATTTACGGGACAAGGGACACTACGGGGATTTTGCATTTCCTTCTGTATTTGTGATGGAAAAAAAAATCCTGTTCGCCAATCAACATTGCAGGAATGAAATCATGATCTTTGTTTCTTTGTTTTGTTTTTGTTGTATATGAACAAATGAATAAATTTACATTTATGTATATATATATATATATATATATATATATATATATATATATATATATATATATATATATAAACACATATATGAATATGTGTTTGCATATATATATATATATATATATATATATATATATATATTATATATATATATATATAATAAATCTTATTATTCATTTATCATTTTTTCTTTTTCTTCTCCTTTCCAATCAGTGACGTTAACCGCAGAAGAAGAAAGGAAGAAAACGGATAAAAGAGAAGACACACGCCAGCGAAGAAAATAAAAGCATGCAAGGCCAAAGCAGAATTATGCAAGCAAGCGCATCCTAAATAGATTCACATCATGTATATATATATATATATATTATATATATATATATATATATATATATATATATATATATATATATATTATATTTTTTTTTTTTTTTTATCGCTTCAGTTACGAAAGCGTGACGGGGGGGGGGGATAAAATCATGGAGATTGATTATATTAATAAACATCACCATAGATCATTATGGATGTTTATTCCTATAAGATGGGGGGGGGGATTGCTGTAGGGGGGGGGGGTAAAGAGGGATGGGGGAGGGGATAGTGGGGGGAGATGGGGAAGGAGAGAAAATGGGAGATGAAAAGGAGATGAAGACGCAGGGAAAGAAGAGATGGATAGAAAATAGGAAAGAGAATGGAAGAAGAAGCAGAAGAAGAAGAAGAATATATTTATTACAAGAAGATACACGATAGAAAAATGGAAGTGGGAAAGAAAAAGATAAGGGAGTAATTGAGGAGATGGAGAAAAAATATGACATAAAAAAATGAGAAGGGAAGTAAAAACAAAAACTGAAAGAGAGAGAGAGAGAGAGAGAGAGAGAGAGAGAGAGAGAGAGAGAAAGAAAGAAAGAAGAAAGAAGAGAAAGAGAGAGAGCGAGAAGAGAGAGAGAGAGATAGAGGGAGGGAGGGAGAGAGAGAGAGGAGGGAGGGAGAGAGAGAGAGTGAAAGAGAGAGAGAGAGAGAAAGGGAGAGAGAGAGAGAAAAAAAAAAGGAAGAGATAGAGATAGACAGACAGTTAGATAGAGGGATAGAGAGAAAGAGAAAGAAAAAAATGTATAATAACCATCACAATATTGTAAAGACACAAACACAATCGCATTTCCTCCCCCTCCTTCCCCTCCCTCCCTCCCCCTCTTCCCTCGATCTCCCCCAACTCTACCCCCAACCCCCCAACCCCAACCCCTATCTTCCCCCATCTTCTCAATCATCCTATTTTCTCCCCCTTCCTGCTTCCCCCTTTTCTTTTCTCCTTTTGTATCTCCTTTTTGAAAGGAAGAGCCTTTCTCTCCCTCCTCCTTTTTCCTCTTCTTCCTCTCTTCCTTCTCCTCCCTTTCCTTCTTCTTCCCCTGGCACCTCATTCTAATCACATCCTCCTCATTTTCCTTTTCCTCTGTTCATATTCCTCCTCCTCCTTCCCCTTTTCTTCTCCTCATAGCCCCTCCCCTCTCCTTATAGCCCTCCCCCTCCTTATAGCCCCCTCCCCCTTTCCTCATAGCCCCCTCTCCTCTCCTCATAGCCCCTCCCCCCTCCTCATAGCCCCCTCTCCCTCTCTCATAGCCCCCTCCCCCCTCCTTATAGCCCCTCCCCCTCATAGCCCTTCCCCTCACCTCATAGCTCCTCCCCCTCCTCATATCCCCTCCACTTTCCTCATAGCCTCTCTCCTTTCCTCATAGTCTCCTTCCCCCTCCTAACCAACTCCTACCCTCCCCTCTTCCCTTCTCCTCATCCCTCCTATACCTCCTTCTCCCCTCCCTCCTCCTTGTCGCCTCTTCCCCCCCTCCCTTCTCCCCCCTCCCCTTTTCCCTCCTCTTCCCATACCCGCTTCCCCTCTCTCCCTCCTCCCCCCCTCCAATCCTACCCCTCCCCTCTCCTCTTCCTCCTCCTCCCCAACACACCTTTACAATGACCCTCTCCATCGTAACTGTCACCCCTCTCACCCCCTCCAACACCCTCTTCTCCCCAACCCCTCCTCACTTCCGTATTCTCTTCGCCCTTCCCTATCCCGCCCCCTCCTACCTCCTCCTACCCTGCACTTCCATCCCCCCAAATATATCCCCCTCCTCATCAGCCCTCCCCACACCCCACACTCCTCCCCACTCCCCCCCCCACCGCCAATCTCCCTCACCCCCTTACCATGGTCGCTCTCCCCTCCCCCCATCCTCTCTCCTCTTCCCCCCCCTAAATCTTCCTCATCCCCCCATCCCCAATCTTCCCTCCTCATCCCCACAAATATCCCCTCCTCATCAGCCTTCCCACACCCCCCCTCCCCACTCCCCCCCCTAAATTTCCCCCATCCCCTTACCTTCATCCTCTCCATGGTCGCTCTCCCCCTCCCCTCCATCCCCCCATCCACTCCTCTCTCCCCTCTCCCCCTAAATCTTCCTCATCCCCTATCCCCACCCAATCTTCCCCCCTCCCCTCTCCTTCTCTCCTTCCCACTTCCCCCAATCTTCCCCCCTCCCCTCTCCTCCCCACTCCCCACACCCTAAATCTCCCCCCCCCCAAATCAGCCCCACCCCCTTACCTTGACCCTCTCCATGGTCGCTCGCAACCGCTTCTCCAGCTTGGGCAGCTCGCAGCGCAGGTCCGCATTGTCCCGCACCAGCTGTTTGTGCACCTTGGTCAGCTGATCGAGGTTGTTCTCCAGGAAGCTGATCTTCTGCTTCTGGGCCACGGAGCCGCCCAGGATGTCCTCGTCCTCGCCGGCTGCTGACTGTGGGCGTGGGGTGGGTGGGTTGGGTTGAAAGGGAGGGAGTGGATGGTTGGGGGGAGGGGGTGAGTTGGTAGGTTGGGGGAGGGGAAGAGGGTGTGGGTGGGTTGGGTTGGGTTGGGTTGGGTTGGAGGGGAAGAATGGGGTGAGAGAGTGTGGGTGGTTTGGGGTGGGTTGGGGTGGGTGGAGGAAGGGAAGGATGGGGTGAGAGAGTGTGGGTGGTTGTGGTGGGTGGGGAGGGAGGGATGGTGGGTTATTGGGGGGCGGGTTGGGGGTGGGTTGGTGGGGAGGGGGGGGACGAATGTGGAAGAAGGGTTGATGGATAAGTGGGTGACAGATGTGGATAAAAGGGGTCAGAAAGGTGATGGTAGGGGGGTTAAGCAAGGGTGGTGGGGGGGAGGGGGGGAAGAGGGGTAGAATAGGAGAAAAACAGAGAGAGAGAAAAAAATCCTTATTAGTATTATGGTTATCAACGCTTTCTACGTTGGTGTTGGCGATATTACTGCACACATCACCAACATCAACATTATTTATCTATCTATCTTCTATTCATATTCCATCTATCTATCTATCCATCTATATTTCCATCTACTTATCTAACTATCTATCTTCTATTTATGTTCCATCTATCTATCTATCTATATATATATTCCATCTACTAACTATCTATCTATCCATCTATATAAATTCCATCTACCTATCTATCTATATTCTATATATATTCCATCTATCTATCTATCTATCCATCTAAATATCCCTCCATCTATCTATCCCTCCATACGTATCCACTATCTATCGATTCATATATCTTATCTTTTTCACATATTTGTCTATTCTTCCCCAATCTTGACGTCGGTCTGCGGGTCATATCTATCTATCCATCTATCTATCTATCAAACCATTCGTATCCCCCACCTATCCATTTTATCTATTCTCGTATCTATCTCTCTATCCCACGATCCGTTCATGCATATCTATTCATCTCATATACTCTTCGCATATATCTATCTATCTACCCTACTATTCTTATCTATTCATATTTTTATTCATCAATTCATCTATCTATCCATCCATCCATTTTAACTCACCCTCTTCACATTGGCCTGCAAAGTCTATCTATCCATCTACCTTTCCTCTTATCTATCTATCAATTGACTTCTGGCCTGCAAAGTCCATCTATCCATCAATAAACTTATCCACCATTCGTTCATCTATTATCATATTCATCTATCTACCCATACATTTATCGACTCACCCTATTGAGTCCATCTATCCCTCTATCTCTCCACTTATCTATCTATCCCACAACTCATTCTCCTATTCATATAACATTTTAATTCTTATCTATTCATATTTATTTCCATCAAATTCATCCCTCTTATCTATCCATCCATCCATCAATTCATCCTTATCTATTGTTCTTATTCTTATCTATTCATATCGATTCATCCCTATTATCTATTTATATTTTCCATCAATTCTCCCCTCTTATCTATCTATCTATCCATCTTAACTCACCCTCTTGACTTTGGCCTGCAAAGTCTCTCTATCCATCTACCTTTCCACTTATCTATCTATCTATCTATCTATCCCACCATTCGTTCACCTACTATACCACATTCTAATTCTTATCTAATATTATTTCATCAATTCATCCCTCTTATCTATCTGTCTATCCATCCATCTTAACTCTATCTATCCCACCATTCTATCCATCTTAACTCACCCTCTTGACTTTGGCCTGCAAAGTCTATCTATCCATCAAACTTTCCACTTATCTATCTATCTATCTATCTATTTATCCCACCATTCTATCCATCTATCGACTCACCCTCTTGACTTTGGCCTGCAAAGTCTCTCTATCCATCTACCTTTCCACTTATCTATCTATCTATCTATCTATCTATCTATCCCCCCATTCTATCTATCTATCTATCCCACCATTCGTTCACCTACTATACCACATTCTAATTCTTATCTACTCATATTATTTCCATCAATTCATCCCTCTTATCTATTCATACATCTATCCATCCATCTTAACTTATCTATCTATCCCACCATTCTATCCATCTATCTATCTATCTATCCCACCATTCTATCCATCTATCTATCTATCCATCCCACCATTCTATCTATCTATCTATCTATCCCATTCTATCCATCTATCTATCTATCTATCTATCCCAATTCTATCCATCTATCTATCTATCTATCTATCTATCTATCTATCTATTTATCTATCTATCCTATCTATCTATCTATCCCACCATTCTATCCATCTTAACTCACCCTCTTGACTTTGGCCTGCAGGTCCTGGACGAAGAGCTTCCTGAGGTTGTGTAGCGTCTGCAGCTCCTTGGCCACCGTGTCCTCCAGTCCCTTGAGATCGTGGTGGGCCTGCTCCCTCCTCTCGTTCAGGGCG